TTTAGGATGTTTCCTCTTTTCTTCATTGGGCTCAAATTCGTCATCGCATTCTAATTGCAATTAATAATCTTACTTTATTAGTTTATTTACTAAAATTCTAATCATCAAATACACAATAATAATATTATTATAGACACAGAGATCCCAAATTCGTAGAATATAATTTTTTTTCAAGTTTTACAGAAATATGCTATTCTAACATAAAAAAATACTGTGACAATTATTGTGCAATTTTTATAAAAACATCATCAAATTGTAAATTAAAAAAGGTATCAATAAATAAGAACACAAACAATCACATTAATAGTACCTACCTAATATTATTTAATTAAATTTTAGGCTAAACAGGCTTTTTACAAAATAACAATCCTGAATTTTAGCATCGTTACGCCATTTTTCAAGCTTAATTTTCATGCAAAGGGTCGACCTAGGGTACCTATGGCTATTAATTTTGACAAAGTTAGGCCCTGTTGGGGACGACCCCTAATTAAAGTTATCAAATTATTTAAAAGTACGGATCATATTAAACATAGACTTTAAAACGTATGCCTAAATATTAAGAGAGAGAGAGAGAGAAAGGGGGAGCACAAAGGGCCTAATGCTTAAGCCATTAGATCCATAATTGTAACGCCTCTAGTGTTCTGGATGTCCATGGGCGACGCCGATTGCTTACCATCAAGTGATCCGTCTGCTTGTTTACCGGCTTATGCCATAAAAAAAACATAATAATATAACATAATACATAAGTGTATATAGTTCATCTTTGCTTTTAGAAACGTTAATAAAACGAAGAGAACAGATTGAACAATAGCGAATGATAAAAATCTAAATTTACACGAGCAAAACCGTGAATAGAAGCCTAGTTTATGAATAATAATAACTACGTAAATAATATTCTGTGATAAGTCAAGAATAACCTTATTAATTAAATTCCATGAAACGCATTATTATTACAAGATTATTCAGTTGCATTATTATATTATGTTCTATTAATCGCAAAACATTATTTGTGTTTGTCCTGTTTATTTTGAAATAATAGATAATAATTAATTGGGTTGTCTAGTTCAATAATTATTATATTGAATTAATTAATAAAAAAGGAATCGTTAGTCATTGTTCTTCAATAAATAAAGTAGTCTGTTTTACTGAGTCGATTTTAATTGATTGATTTTGCAATCATAATAATTTATTATATTCCTCAGAAGGTAATAGTAAAAATAACCCTTACGGCTCGACGTGCAGGAGAAGGAACGGGGTGGTTTTTAGTCAGTAAGAGTCTGACACTCCCTCCCGCCTCACCCAGGCGGGAGCAGTCATTCGATGATTTTCCCCCTTTAAAAAAATAAAATAAAACCATCTTCAAAGATGTTGTGTGTCTTTGAAGATGGTTTTATTTTATTTTATTTTTTGACGTGGAAAAGCAAAGAAACAAACTTAGATATAGTCGTATTTAAACTTTTATTTATTTATGCACAACACATAGACATTACACAGGAGAATACATATATTAATAAATTGGAGGTACATAGGACAAATTCCCGTAGGAATCTCTTCCTTAAGAACTTAGACACTGTGTGTAACATAACATGAACAAAAAAAACAAACATTACCAAAATTTAAGCCTATAAATACTTAAAACTACATATACACTCTTATTGTTAGTTATTTTATAGCACAACCCGGTAAACGAGCAGACGGATCACCTGATGGTAAGCAATCAGCGCCGTCCATAGACACCAAGGCGTCACTAGTGCGTTACCGGCTTTTTGGGATTGGGCGGATTGGGAATTAGAGGGTTGTGGAGGGTTCGGGGATTCGGGAGACTAGGGAGGGGGGTAATTGGGCCTCCGGTAACCTCACTAACACGACGAAAGACAACGCAAGAGTGGTTTCACGTCGGTTTTCTGTGAGGTCGTGGTATCACTCCGGTCGAGCCGGCCCATTCGTGCCCGAAGCATGGCTCTCCCACACTTAGTTAAGATAAACTAAATGATTTGATATAAATAAATAGTGTATAAACATCTTTTCCTGCTTATAGTATATTGGTTTTGGTACCTGTATTGAGAAATAGCACTCTTTACCTAATATCGGTAAACAGAAACCACAGAGCGCCACTTACCAATCTATTCTTGCTTTCCTCTAATTCCTCTATTTAAAATAGTCATACAAATGCTTTTAGTACACCGTCTTTAATTACGTACTTGCCTTAATAAAAATATAATTACTTCATCCTTTCAAAAAAATAAAATAGGTATAAAAAAAAAAATAGTATTGTTATGTAGTTTATGTACTGGGATACCTTTGTATATACGTTCATTTATCACCCTCGTTTTTTTTCAATAGATACAGACTTCGTTTATAACCTATTGACACATCTCTGCACCACCCTATGGTTGGCTGGTAGAGTATCTTAAAAAAAATAAATAAAATAAAACTTATCATCAGGCGATATAGTGACCAAACGTTGACCCATCAAATATAAAAAAAATATATATCAATAGTCCGAAGTAGCGATTATACTATGGGTCTCCTCTGCATAATTGTTGGCAATAACTTCTATATTTAGCAGGGGTGCTGAAGAAAGCAGTTCAAGATTATAATTAATAAAAAATCGCTGCTGCGAGTCTTTGTCTCCACATAACATCACGCCTTTTATCCCCGAACGGGTAGGCAGAGGTGTACATTATGCTACTGTAACACCTACTTTTCACTATTTATGTTATGAGTCCCTTGTAATAGGGGGTGAGCCTATTGCCATATACCGGGCACAATTCAGACTACTACTGAGAAATTATAAAAACCCAGTAATACTTTGCCCGGCCCGGGAATCGAACCCGAGCCGAATCACTCGGCCAACGAGGCAGTCTCTATAACCCCTAAATCCCTTAATCGGGTTTTACGACACTTATTTGAAAGGAGCGGCTGATGCAAATGTGTTTTACTATTTGCGTAATACACACGAATCTTCTACAAAGAAACTCCAATCAATTAACGAGAATTTTGACATCGGAAACCCCAATAAGCCAATATTACTGTGGCCTAACAATGAAGTTTTCAGGAAATACCTGTCCAGCAATAGTTTTGCAATTTAACCTTGTTAATTATAATAATGTATTTGAACATGTCAATAACAGTCTGATCTTAATTACTTCCTATTTTTGTACAGTGGCCAGTACATCATCCAACTTCAATTTGTCAATTTTTGTCATTCGATTTTCGACTTTAAACCTAAATGATAGAATTGAAAATCTAATTAAGAAAGACAGAAAAAAGTGCTCTGTACAAATCATGTCAATCATAATAAACGATATAAACTTTTTCTAATGTATTTCAATTACAATGGATGACTCATTTTACCATGAGATGCAATCTTTTTTATAGTTCCCATTGTGGTAGGATTAGCTGACATTGGGAAAACCCAGATTACAATTTTGTGTCTCGTTTATCAAAGGATTTACGATTACTACGTCACATTTTATGTCGAAATGGATTTGAGGATTAGGATTTACAGATTAGGAAGACAAGCTGTAATGGACTTTGTGTTATGTAATTTCGGTTGCTTTTTATTAGTTTTAACATTGACAGTTTGGTAGCTTACATACCTACTTTTCATTACCTTTGGTACTTTATTTCTTGTTACCTGCTTGGTTTCACCCGCGAGGTGAAAGGAAGGAAAGTGAGCTGCATCGCTACTGAGTATAATAATTATCAACAGTAAAAAAATACACAACAGGGAATTCGCCCCGATACATTCTACATTTATAAGTGTTGGAATTTCAAGTAATGAAATTAAATATATATATCGGAATCAGGATACGGACAAAACTACAAATACATTAACAAACCAAAACACCAAAGACCTATGCTGCGGTTAATTGATAAAAACTATACCAATTCATAAACCTAAGGAAACATCCTTTCTTTTCAATTAGGACTTTAGTAGATTAAATAATTATAATATTAACGTTAATACTTAGTCAAACATTTATTGTTTTTACAGTCACATAAAATGAGGTCAAACAGTATATAGCTGTACATACGGTTGACCGCAAATTAGTCCAACAAATAGACCGATAAAAAATGTCTACCATTTGCTACTCGGTGACTGAACTAACGGTGTCTGTTATGCAATGTAAAGTAGTAATAAACATCAAAAAACCCAAACTACAATTTGGGGGTGTGTTCGAGAAACGATGACTTGCATATATTAAATTACCTCACAGATGACTCAAATATCTTACCCAATTTAAGTGACCTTCCGCGCCCCTCTTTAAATTGACGTAAGCCGAACATTCGCGCGGTAATTGAATGAATCAGCGGAGGTCTACTTTGATTGGTCAATGATTGTGTTGAGCGAACTTGATCAGTGACGTCATGGGTCGACGAGACGAGTAATCCCACATGACGTTCTGAATCGGGTTTTTACGCAGACTTCTTAATGTACAGAAGGGCATAAGCAAATGTTTATATATAGATGTGAATGTTTAATTTGTGGTAATTTATACAAAGCTTTTATTTTTAGTAGTTTTTTTTTATATAATCATGCCCAGAACGTGTTTAAGTATTATTATTTCTTAGGTTTATTATTTATTTTACTATTAATAGAATTTTCTGGATTGGCATAGCATTTTTTGCTACGTATAATAATCTTTTATAATTCAATCAGCTTTGTCTATTACTTTAGTAAATAAACTATTTACTTCCATACAAAATGTCTCCATTATCTAAACAACACAGTAAAAAAACTTTACTCAACACGCAAAAATACTAAATTAAATTTTTAATCTTTTCCTATAACAAGACCTGCAAGTAATCTTTACAACAAAAAAGAAAATAGCAAAACAAAAATACTTTGATTTCATCATAAAATTCATATTGCAAGATGGGTTTTTCCATATTGTTCGTTATCAACTAAAGTTGTGATCCATTCTAAAAGTTTTCTAAGTCTGTGTTCATATCGATGTTCCTCGCAAGTTCTTATTTATAGTGTGGTACGTTCGTGTTCAGTCACAGTTCTCTGTTCGAACTCAAAGTGACAACATAGGTTCATTAACCTTCCAGTGGTTTATTGTGCATAAATAAATAAAATAATCGAAGGTATGTATTCTGTTTTTGTTTTTGATAACGGTTTAGAACTTTTTGAATTTAAAGTAATTTCAAATTTAGAATTACTTTTGTTTATGTGAAAGTTGGTTTTGTTTTTTATTTCATTTTATGGTAGGAGGTAGATATGTGTTCGATCTTTTGTTTTGTGTGTTGTTCTTTAAATTATGTTATGAACTTTTTAAAGTAATCGAAACTATTGATAGTGCTTTGCACTATCAATAGTTTCGATTTTATTAAAAGTTTTTTCAGAAAGTAATAAGATTTCAAACTAGCTGTAAAATATTTTATCACCGTTTTCAAACAACTAACAAAGAGAAGATAAAGTACCAAATATTTTACTTAAATAAAACTGATAACAATATTTTTTTAATCTAATAATTCCTCATAAAATTTTGTATAAAATATATCGAATGGAATAATATTCTTCTTTCTTCTAAGATGGTTTCATAAAAAATTAATCATAATACAATTAAAACGAATTAGGTACATAGAATATATTTTAAAATTCACTCACAGAGTTAAGACGTTGCACAAAAAATCTAACAATAGATTTTAATTCCACGTAATTTTTTAACATCCATTGTTATAAAAGATTGCCAATAAAAAAACTGATCAGAGTTTTTACACAATAACGTGAGTGTTACTACTCAACGAACCGACGAAGCTTCACATTGGCATAGCTATAACACCTCTATACATAGATACCTATAAGTAATAATTACTTTAATAAACATGGACTCTTTATAACATCGTGCAAGCAACTGGTTTTAATGCAAACAGAACAAGTTAAATTATAGTCTATTTTGTATACACTTGAACATGCTAACATGATGCTTTATCCTTTTCCCGTACGATAAGCAGAGATGCACACAATATTAAATGCAATATACAATTTACGAAAGAAAATATAGCTGCAATTTTGGCAATAAGTTATATCAATAATTTTGGTCGTATAATAGAATCTTACTTAGAATGATTTCTGGTTCAAACTGGATTCTACTTATCAGCATCTACGCTCATGTCTTGTAAACAAACAACAGTATAAACGTACAATTTTATTTACGTTTTATTTCTTTCTTTACAGAAAATGGCCGCCTACAAAGTCGTACTAGCACTCGCCGTCTTAATTGCTGTCGTAAAAGCGCAGAGACCTTTCTACGCTGGACTGAGCCCAATTGGATACCCAACGGTGGAAGCAGACCTCATTTCGAACAGATTCGGTGAAGATGAAGACTTCCCAATAGACGCCAGAGGTGATAGGAACCTCATTAATAGATTGGACGCCCTTCCCGTTGACAACCAGCCCTTCTGGTACCTCAACTGGAGGCAATATGAAAACTTCAGACGCAACCCACAAGCCTACCCCCAGAGGCCGAACAACTTCATCGGTACCAGATAATCGGAAGAATCGAGGAAGTGCATCGATTTAGAATCTCTATTTTATGTATTCGATTCATGACTGACAATTTAATTCGAATCGAAATTGGAATTTGATAGAACTGGTTTGACTTTCGAACGTCCGCCTGAGATTCTGAATTTAAACAGTATTATTAAATTTCGTTTGTTTTTTTTTGTAGTTTGTGCGATGCAAGGAGTTAGGAGTGACGTAAAAATGTAAATTGTTTTACGAATTTAAAACGTTCCAGTCATTGGATTAACGAATTAATTTATTTTTATAATATAAACACTTAATCAGTGTTCGTGTTGTAAACATTGGAATTATGCCATTGTATTGCATTTATTGTAGTTTCTTGTAAATATAAATTTTGTTTCATAAATTTACACCTTTTTATTTTATTTTTATTTAATTATTTATTAACGCTTCATGCACAAAGTGTACACAAGGAGGACTTAATGTTGCAGGCATTTTCTCCCAGTCTGACCTTTGGGTGATGCAGAGAAGAGATAATGGTAGAAACTAGAAGCAATCAATGATTTTATTGAGCAAATAGAAGACACACTAACATATTTCAGATATAAACATAAATAAATATAATTATTATATTTACACGACTACATACAATATATATACGTGTATACACACATACATACATGATTACTAATGCATTGCGAATAATTAGCGTGATGATTCAGCCAACCTCTTTAAGAGAAGCTCACGTATTTTCTGCCTAACTGTTAGACGTGTCGACACCATCCTGACATCCAGGGAGAGCGCATTCCACAGCAAAATTGCCTATACGAAAAAGGATATTAGTTTTAGAGAAGCCATATAAACAGTGCTCTTTTCGATAGTAACAGTTTACTATAGAAAACAGTGCTGTTTTCGTTCGTTTGAGCTTGAGCTATCTATAGATACATGTAAGGCGCGTCGCGTTCCGCGCGCGCCTCAAAGAGCCATCAGACCACCACAGATGGGGCCCAATACGGCCGATGCCGATTCGGAGTCGCGGAGAACCTAACGGGTAACCGGGGCTCCGGCTCGACGTGCAGGAGAAGGAAAGGAGTGGTTTTTAGTCAGTAAGAGTCTGACACTCCCTCTCACCTCACCCAGGCGGGAGCAGACATTCGATGATTTTCCCCCCTTAAAAAAAAATCTATAGATACATTTGTATAGTATAGTTCAGTTAATCCTATAAAATCTGAGTTTAAAAACTGCAGACGTATCTCACTACATGCTCTGTTCTTTAACACATCATCTAAGACATTACAAAAATCATTAAGGTATATACTAATACATACACAAACGCACATATGTACTCCTCTATAACAACAGATAACATATCAGTTCAAAGCACCCATTCACCTATTACGACCATTCAATATCCTACACTAATCTCTATGTTCACAATTAATTCTGGCTTCAGTCATCAATCTATCCTACCTATACATAGGCTTCAGGAATTAATTTCTGTGAGTGGACCTTAGACGTGGATCACAGATATTGTATATACCTATATGAAGTGACTCCTATTGGATATCTGATATAATGGGAATGATTAAGAAGCCTTTGGTGTGTTGTACCTTGAAGAAGGAATGATATAGAGAAGGGTACATATGTGATCTACACGTAGGCCAAGATTGATGTTTGTAAACAACACATAAATATAACATCACGCCTTTTATCTCCGAAGAGGTAGGCAGAGGTGCACATTACGAAACTAAGTGCCATTGTCCAATGTTAGACCCACTTTTCACTATTTATGTTATGAGTTCCATGTAATAGGGGGTGAGCCTATTGCCATATACCGGGCACAATTCCAGATTTCGTGCTACTACTGGGAATTAAAAAAAATCCAGTACCACTTTGTCCGACCCGGGAATGGAACCCGAGACCCCTTGCCCGGCAGTCGCACTTGCGACTACTCGGTCAACGAGGCAGTCTGTAAACAAATCGTAAAGATAGAACTACGTCCCGGTATTTCATAGCACGGGCCTGCAGACGGCGAGCATGAGTAGCTCTCCGACCGACCAGAACCAGACCTGAGCGTACGGCGCATAGCCGTTCTGCGCGCGCCTTAAAAAGCCATCAGACCATCACAAATGGGGCCCAATAGGACTGATGCCGATACGGCGCCGCGGACAACTTAACGGGTTACCGGGGCTCCGGCTCGAAGTGCAGGAGTAGGAATGGGGTGGTTTTTAGTCAGTAATAGTCTAACACTCCCTGTCGCCTCACCCAGGCGGGAGAAGTCATTCGATGACTATCCCCCCTTTAAAAACACGTGTGCGTGTACCAGATATAGCATTACCTTTGTGATTTGTTTATATTTGACATCGATCTTGATATAAGTATAAATTGAATTCAACAAAAAATGTTTAATATTGAATGCGTAGCGAAGTACCTACAATATTACGATACAATAAGGCTACATACATAGAACAGTGATACATAAAGGTGCGTCCACATCTGGTGAATGCTCCGCGAATGTGCAGCTCACGAGCCGGTTGCGGGCCGCCTGTGAGTTGGGCGCGTGGATGGGATGGAAATGATCAAAATCCTTTCTTAGCGGATGCCTTCGTCATAACATTTTCCTGCATGCCAAATTTCAGCCCGATCCCAGTGGTTTAGGCTGTGCGTTGATAGATCACTATGTCAGTCACTCAACTTATATATGTAGAGGTAGATATATACTTCTTAGAAATATTATAATAATAATTATACATATCGTTAACTTTATGTTCTACTTAAATATCGAGCCATCTCTTTCGTTTTACAAAGTATTTGTAGCTCAAGAACTATGCTTAAGCATGACTTAAAATTGAGTACCTAACGTTTGAGTATTTGCACAGTGGTCTATTATAAAATTTGTAAGAAGAGCAGTTAAGGATGGAATTAATTCTACGTTGCTATAATATACGGTATAATATGTACTTACGCACGGCATGCGACATAAGATACACTTGACCAACGAACTAGTTTTTATGCCTCATTTTAAACGTTTATAAATAATCTCTTACACCAATTTCTCAATGTTTCATTACCAAACACTTGACGGACGTTGTCAATGTAGTCCAAACTAAAAAAAAACTGTTCCACCCTTACATTACCCCTCAGCAAGTACACACAACCAATATAAATTGACCGTTAGATGTACAAAAAAATCAAACAAAGGGAGACCACGAAATACTGGATTGTGTAGCTAAATGTGTACAAGTAAACCTACTTTGAAACTAGAACGACGACGTTGTACTTTAAAATATTGTTATTACCAACTATTATCCGCGGTTTTACTGGACCTAGTTGAATTTACTGAATTAATTTGCTAGATAAAAATCTTGAAATGCACTTTGGAACTGAAAGAAAATACTGCTTTCTTGAACTTTGTTTTGATGGGGAAAATTTTGTTAGTGGACTTGTTTGAGTTTGAGTTTTGAAAATGAATTTTATAGTAAAAGATATTAAATTCATTTTGGCGCAAGATAGTGCATTTATGTTCGTTATTTTATTACTAACCTAGCTAACTTGCACGTATGAGCGCCATGTTTCGGCACGAATGGGCCGGCTCGACCGGAGTGATACCACGGCCTCACAGAAAACTGACGTGAAGCAACGCTTGCGTTGTGTCTCGTCGTGTGAGTAAGGTTATAGGAGGCCCGATTACGCCCCCCCTCCCCATCTCCTCAATCCCTGAATCCTTCACAGTCCTCAAATTCCCAATTTCCAAATGGCCGGTAACTCACTTGTGTTCCAGGTCCTTGTGTTCCAGGTCCACAACGCCTCTGGTGTTCCAGGTGTCCATGGGAAACCCATTGCTTACTATCAGATGATCGGTCTGTTTATTTACTGGCTTATGCTTTAAAAAAATATAGATACTTATCCTAAAATTGTGTATAGGCACGACTATCTTGTCATGCAACTTCTTATCCACGAACATATTTTATTTTGTTTAATAATTTTTATCTTGTTTTTATTTAACTATTGACATTCTGATTGTTTAATATTGTGACATTTAAATTTTTAATCCTATGTGACTTAATAATTAATAATTCTAATGACATTAAGTAATAATAATCAATCCAAATCTTTGTTTCCAACTAATTTTCTAATTTTGTATGCTGAAAAAGCCAACATAGCGTTTAAAATTGTTATTTAAGACCCTAATGTTACCTATGTTCACAATTGAATAAATGAATTTGAATTTGAACAAAAATATTCGTATGTATCAAAACATAGGATCGAACATAATCAAACTATGCTTGTATATCCACTTATACCAACTTACATCTCACTCAACGTTACATAATAAAGAACGAAACTTTCGAATGAATCAACCACCAAACGCGTTCCATTAGGAGACAGTGCTGCCAACATACAGAAAATTAACTACCAAATTGCCAACTTTACGCCAGCAATTTGTCTCAGGAAGTCAATAAACGTAAAAACCCACACACATTCCAGTCAGTATGTTTAATGGTGCTCTCGATAATATAACTTATAATTAGAAAGTACTTTTGCTCTGATAATTATATTACTTGAAGTATTTTGATTGTTCTTGTCATTCATGTGTCAATGACCGTGTGATCTGAGTGCAGATTAATGCAGAAAGCATGTTTGTGTATAAACTTTGTAAATAATAACATAACATAACATTACGCCTTTTATTCCCGAAGGGGTAGGCAGAGGTGCACATTACGGCACTTAATGCCACTATACAATGTAACACCCACTTTTCACTATTTAGTTATGAGTCCCATGTAATAGAGGGTGAGCCTATTGCCATATACCGGACATAATTCCAGATTCCGTGCTACCAATGAGATTTTTAAAAACCCAGTAATACTTTGCTCGGGAATCGAACCCGAAGACCCCTTGCCCAGCAGTCGCACTTGCGACCACTCGGCCAAATAGGCAGTCAAGTTTATAAAAACGAAGGCAGAAACGCATAATATGAAATGTAACAACAAACATTTCTGTAAATCCCTTGTAATAAATTGGCCACTACTGAAAACGACCTATTAAATAATTGCTAAATCACGACTTATATACACTTAAAGTAAAAAAAAAATGTCAACAAATGTACAAAAACTATAACCGAAGAATTCATTGTAAAACCACTCTAACAAATCAATTCAACACGGCCAAAAAGTACGTGTAACATAGCAAAAACGACACCTAAATCACGTGTATACAAATGTTTCCAATAAAATGGCGGATAAATGCCCCATTCATCCGTCACAATTGAGTTTTTCACCCATTTCGAAGTCACACAACAATATGGATCAGTTCACAGGAGCCAGCCGATCCATACACGACAAAGGCTTGAAATATGTAAATATAGAATAAAATTGTGGTGGAGTTTCGGAACCGTAACTGGAT